TAAAACTGCAGGGAATGCTGGAGTTTGCCAGTGTCTCTGACTACAGTACCATCTTGGCAGTATCAATATGAAAATAAGTCACACGCTTCTCCCCACCCCACATCTCCAGCATAATTATGATGGTTTCAGAAGTTTTGGCTACCCCTTATATTAGCACTTGTTTTGTCTTAATCCTGACAAATAGTAAGAATGCAAACTATTGTCAAAGTTTTGCTTATGAAGCAAGCTTATTTGAAAAAGAACATAGTTAACTATTGTTTAGGGTGTGAATTAAATGCTACAGTGCAATTAATTTAAACTGTTCACTGTGGCTGTTTCTTTGTACTGCTAACACCAGTGAACAATTCTTAATCATAAAACAACCTATAACAAATAGTATCAGAACACTGTGTCAAATTCTGCAAAAACTGGGAAAGTACACTGAAAGTATATAAATCAGCCTATTCACATTAAGCCATATACATAATATTTTCCTTAATTGTTTGCAAGGTGGCATATATAGGGACATTTATTTGAATTTATAGTGGAATTGTCCATTTATGAAATACTTTTAGGAAATATCTCCTCTGAGCATAATAAAATACAGGCTAAGAACACATTGTGATATGAAAAATGGCTCCGTTTTCCTGTTTGGAAGTTACTAAACAATCATGAATCAAGAACATTTTTCTTTGTAGTGGCAAGACAAAAGAAGTTATAGAACTGGAGATAAGCATTACATCTTACCTTGGACTTTAAGAATTCCCTCTACCTTTATTTTCTGCTTATATTCTGTTGTATTGTCTCATGTATAAACATGTCTCATCTGTTAATAGCAGCCTTCTAATTCTGTAGGTCATTCTGTATTATATCTTGTGTATATTAAAATAATGCAGTACAGTTGGAAATGCTGTCTGAAGATGATTCACCACCGCTTATAGTGTCTGCTGCAATACAGGTAGTCCTCGACTTACGACCACAATTGGGACCAGAATTTCCATTGCTAAATGATGCAGTCATAAAGCGAGATGTTACATGACCACATCGCTTAGCAATGGCAATCCTGGCACTCCCCGTTGCTGCCATTAAGTGAATTCCACCGGTCATTAGCTGAGGACTACCCCAATCCAAGCCATTCCAGGCTTTGTTCCTCCCAGCCCTGAGCCTCAGTAAGATATGGGACTGCCTCCCCACACCCACCAATCTCCCGCCCATCTCTGCCCTTTTGGTTGCTCTGCACCCTGCCTTGCAGGGCAGCAAGCAGCCCCAGAACCATGCAACTCTGGGGCTGCTTGCTAAGCTGTGGCTCAGGGGCTTCTTAGCGTGCCAAAGCTCTGGGGTTGTAAAGAGTCCCTGAGCTGCAGTGCACTGCGAAGCGGCAGCCACCCCTGGAGGCTTCAGCTGCCTCAGCAAGTGCCAGCAAGCATTTTTCTGCCCAGCTGCCCTCTTTCCCAGGTCCCCGCACCAACCTTCCACCTTTTGCACCCAGCCGCCATGACCAAAACAGAAGTGTCTGGCTGCTCCTGCTGTCTCCTTCACGTGCTCTATAATAATAATAATAATTGTTGTTGTTATTATTATTGAAAGCTGGTAAAAGCAATAATAATAATGGAAAGTGGCAGAGAAGCTGAGCCAACCCCCAGCACTTTCCTGTTGGCTGGACATTCTTATTTGCACCGCCCTGCTGGGCTGGGCTGAGGAGCCATATGTAGGAAGTGTTTGCCCAGGATAGCATGGTGGCTGCAGGTCTGAAAAGGAGATAGCAAAAAAAAAAAGGCACCTCTGCTTCGGCCGCAGTGGCTGGGTGCAAAAGGCGAAAGGTCGGTGCAGGGACCAGGAGAGAAGGCAGCTGGGCAAATGAATGTTTACTGGTGCTTGCTGGGGTGGGCTGGGGTAGCTGAGGCTTCCAGGGATGGCTGCAGCTTTGCAATGCGCTGTAACCCTACAAGGCTGGGTGCAGGGCGCCCAAAAGGGCAGAGATGGGGGGAGATAGGCAGATGGGGGAGTTGAAGTGCCCCTGCGGTTATAAGTGCAGTCAAGCTGCCAAGCACCCACATTGTGATCATGTGACCACGGGGGCATGCAGTGGCTGTAATTTCAGGGACCAGTCGTAAGTCCATTTTTTCAGCACTGTCATAACTTCAAACTGAATGAATTGTAAGTCAAGGACTACCTGTACTTTTGGTAATCTGCTTCAGCAGTAACAAGAAGTTTTGAAGTAGCTTAAAAACTAACTTGTCTGTTGCTCTGGAATCATTTCTTTTGGGAAGTGATTTTGGAAATATGATATTTTAAAGACTTTAAGCTTTGGAAGGATAAAAGCAAAACACTTATGAATGCTGCATTCACAGCAAATTAAATAAAATCTTCTGTCCTTAAAAGTAAGAAGGGGAAAAAAACTTTTTGTGGAAGATATTCTGGTTTCATCATGCAGCAGCTTATAAGAACCAGAAAAGAGTAGAGAGGAGTCCTTCATTTTAAGTTTTAGCTGTCTCCTTGTTCTAATGCAATTGAGAAGAGGAAGAGTGCTTCTATAAATGGTTCTGCCTAGCCAAAGGGAAATTATATGATAATAAAATTTCTTACCACCAAGAAACAATATAAATAGTGCAATCTGATTTTGGAAGCAGGAAAAGGCCATTGTTTTTAACAACAACAAAAGGAAACTTGAAAAAATTCTCAGTAGGTTGAACTTTAGCTATTGTAGCATGTCCATTAAAGAAGAGTCAAGCCCCAGACTCCTGATTTTCTGGGAAGACATATCAGAGAAACTAAAACCTGCTTTCTCACAATTAACTTGCAAACAGCAGCAGCCAGTCAACAGTCGGCTGTTTCTTTCCAAATATCAGTTGTTTGATATACATAGACATTTTCATTGCTGATTTTGTTTTCTGCTCCACAGTTTTGAACATTCATTTAGCTACTGTGTACATTTGGATTTTTTCCCCTCACTGGTATCAGAGAGAGGGTAGAGCCGAGTGTTAGGAGGTTCTGTGGCATACCTTATTTACTTGGCAGATTTGTCACTTCAGAGACAGGAGAGTTTATTTAGCCCAAGCATATAGTACCAGTCGTATCAAATCTTAGATCAGCTTTGCTACTTGAGATGTGCTGGAGGGCAATGTGCTTCTTCATTCTGACATGTGTAGAAATATGTTTATTTTGTTTGTAAAGTGTAACAGCCGAGGTCTGCTTGTATTTATATTTCTGCTGGTTTAGTTGTTATTTCCAGACAGTATCATCCTGAAACTTAGTATCTAGTGGGCTTTTAAAAAGGATACTAGACTTGAAGGCTTAGTAGGAAGTGATTAAAAAATAATTATCAATTCTATCAATTTTCCAAGCTTTTTTAAAAATATCTTTGGATTGTGAATTGCTGGATCAACAAAATACTGTTGGATTTGGTTATCACAACCTAGTAACTGTGAAGTATCTGAGATAAAAAAATGTAAAGTAAGAAAAAAATCACTACTACTGTGCACATATGAAAAATATAATTCCTTTTACCAACATAATCTCATTAAAGTCACAAAGAGCTACCTTTAACTGGACTACATCATTTGAATATTTATGTCAGCTTATACTTGGATTAAAGAAGAAATTCATAAAGCTATACTTCAATGATGCGCATTCAGTACTTTTACTTGCTTCAGTATATGCAATTACATATAAAACCTGGATGTGATTCTATTTCAATTTATTATTTTTTTGTGCTGCCAATATTAGCGCAACAAATTGTATTTATTTAGTTGCTGAACCACCATAGACCAAAAGGCACAACATATTGAATTCTCTTCTCTGGTTATATTGGAGGATTAATTGAAAACAGTATGAGTATTGGTGGCCGGTAAGCAAGGCATCAGAAAATGGAATTTAAAGGTGTTACAACTTTGTTAATTAACACCTTTATATTAGAGATGCTAAAAATGTCTTAAATAAAAAAGATGGTTCAGCAAAACCAGACACTGCTATTCACAGAGTTCTGAAAGATAATTATTTTGGCAAAAGCTATATTTAAAGTTATACTCTGCTGCCAGTTATAAAATTAATAGTTATTTTTATTTTGCTTTATAAAATTATATCACAGTGCATCAGAAATAGTTTGTACTGTGTTGTGATACAAAGTGTGCTGCTTCTGGCAGAAGCCCTAATTCATGTTAACATTTTAAACATTAAACTGCTTTGGTTTAGCAATTGAAAAGATGAGTGAACTCTGTGTTTGGGACAAAATAACTTCTTGGAAGCATGTTTAGTTAAAATTTCTTCTGCACTTGAACGTGAAAGGGATTCAAAAAAATTTTTAACAGATTTTTTAAAAACCAACATATAATATTTTTCCACTATTATTTTCTGTAGAAGCTGTTTAAATGGTTAAGTTTAGTATCTTACAACACAGAGGCTTTTGGGTTGTGTCTGTTCGAAATTTCAAATGTGAATGTTGTAGATATTCTTATTTACATATATTGTTATTCTGGATTTTTTTTTTCCTCTTCTGTTCTAGGGTTATGGTTTTCTTTTTGTGCTTCTCAGTCAGCCTTGACTCTGAAGACTAAATGGACAATCCCTACAGTTTTTTTGGCAACATTTTCAGAAGTGGTTTGCCCTTGCCTTCTTCCCTGAGCTAAGAGACAGTGACTGGCCCAAAGTCACCCAGCTGCTTTTATGCCTGAGGCAGGACTAGTATATCTTGCAGATGAAGTATAACAGTGGCTGCCTGGGTTAAAGATGACTATGCATGAAATAGATATGTTTTTTATCCTTAATTTTTAGCTAAATTATTCATATAGCAGTAGGAATCAAAATCCTAGATCATACAGTATATTACATTTCTGGACAAATATATTGGGGCAACAAGGCAGGAGTTTTTGTTTCTTAACTAGAAGTTTTTTTTAAAAAAAAATAATGTACTTTGCAGAATGTATTGTATTCTTCTAAACAGTGGCTTGATAAATCATTTGCTAATTTTTTTTTACAAAAAAAAAAGCTATTTGTGAATATTGTACAACTTTTTTCTCTTGTAGATCATCACTAGATATGTATATGAATTATTGGAAGAAGAGTGCCATTTGAAAAAAGTATATGTCCCAGTAAGTTAAATGTACACAGATTTTTCTTAAAGTACATTAAGATGTAGAAATCAGTCTGAGGAAATAATTTTTTGTTATAACTTTCTTTGTGAGGGCTTGTAAAATCCCATTTCTGAACAATGACAGTTCAGAAATTCTATTATTGCTCATGTTAAAGAACTAAACCTAGATTTGAATTTTTCTTCAATTATGAATCTTACTGGGTGACATAAGTCCTTTATTTTGTCAGCTTAACAAATAAAGAGTTGCTCTGGATAGTGGTGGGAGTATAACACCACCTATACTACCTTGTGCAATTTAAATAAATCATAGGATATTTAGAGTTGTATGGATGATGTTTCCAGTTGCTGCTTCATTTTATTTTAGTTTGGAAAAGGATGGAACATAATAGAAATTAAGCAGACTGTGAATTTATATGTGTGCATGTAATCCAAGCCATATTTCATTCTGAAGAATGACTTCAGGATTAAATTTTTTATTCCAGATGTTAAGTGTACAGGGTGTAATGTGTATCTATTGTACAGATAGGTCTCCAGATTAAGTCTCTATTCACATCAAGTGTTGGGCATATTTCACGTTTGCTAGACCCATCTCAACTAATTGCTGAGATTTACAACCCAGCAGTGCTCCAAATATGTTGTATGTGCTTAAAATTAAAGAATTCTGAGAGCAGATATAGTCTTCAGTTATAGAATGAAGTAAAATTAATGATGCTATGCCATAAAAATCCACAATGGATATTCTTCATTAACTGTTGAGATTAGAAAATATGCTGATGCTGCAATTCTCCCAAATGTGTATCTGTTTTTCTGTGATCAACACGATCATTTGCCTTTGAGATCAGTTGATTATCTCACTTTTCTAAGATAGGTGAAGTTTCATGATGGATACTCATGCTGCTGCAAATCTTATGGCAGAAAAGGAAAGGATTTTTTAAAGGCAAAGACAATAGGCTTGATGACTGAGCACATTGCTGATCTTTTTATAATTTTTCTTTATTGTAGGTGCCATGCAGTTTTCCACTGATCTCAAGAAAGGATTTTTTGTAATTGTATGTTTATATAGTATTTATTCAGATCCATTATCTGTAACCAAATCATCCCAGATGCTCTGTCATCACACCGGAATTACACATCTTGTAGCAAATTAGAGATATTGGCCTAAGGGTTCAAAAATAATAATATATTTAATGAACTGTTAATCAGAGCCCAGCTACACTGATATTTTTATAGGTTACTTGATTTTTACCATGTATCAAGGTGATTTAAGACAAGGTACTTATATTGATCATGAGAAGTTAAAACAGATATACCCAAAGTAGGCCTTCTTGAAAACTATTTCAAGAAGGCAGTATTAGAAAAGTATTTAATTTTAACGAAATTATCTGCTCTCCTTTAATAATACTGTAAAAATGCATATACTGTGTACCTAAGTATCTAATCACTTAAGAGTGTTATGCTGGTACCTACAGTAAACATTGTGAAAGGTTGGCTGATCTGAATAAAGGTCACTCCTAAAAAATGAAGCATAATATCTAAAATTATTTTAAGGAATTAATAGCATTTGTTTTTACTCCATGTTCACCACCAGGTTTTGGTGAACCCATACATTATTTTTTTCATTTTTTAGTTTAGTTAAATAAACATTGGAAAAAGAGATGTGACTTATTTAGATATTTCTAAATCACTGGTTCTAGATTTCTAAGTCACTGGTTCTAGATTTTCCCATTGCTTCCCAGAAGAGTAGGACTCTGTTCTTTGAAACCTTGCCTTTTTCCTCCAAACCAGGATGAAGTACACTCACTTTTGAAGACACCCACACTGACACATCATTGATTAAAAAGTGAAATGTTAATTTACTTATAGAACATCTCAATAACTCAAAATAGATCAAACAGTTGAATGAAATAGTAATGATTACAATCTGTGATAGTTTCTCTATCCTCTAACCCCCACTGTCAAGTATATTTTTTAACTGATACTTCCTTCATCCACCATTTTGTTCTCTAATTTATTCTCAATCATTCATTGACAGTTTTTGGGACACTTATTACCAGAAGTAAGTGCACACACAGTAATATTTATTCAGTCAGTGACCAGCAAAATTTATAAAATATACAACATGAAAATCAAATTAAATGGATGAGATAAAGTATCAACGTAACAAGGAATATCTGTTACAAAGTATAGCATAAGCTACTGTAATGAAATGTGTTCATAAACTGTGCAAGTATAAGTCTAAAATACTACAGTCTATGGAGTAAAATGCACAAAATATAAAACAAAATAACAAACACAGTTGCAGAATCTATAAAATCTGAATAAAACAGAAGTGATTATTCCTAAGACCAGTTATGCCTTATTTTCATTGTGGTAATGCAGAATTTACTACTGAAGAAGTAATGAAGGGTTTCAAATCTTCTAGAAGTTGATTCACATAGAAATTGTCTGGCCTTCCTAGGAATTTACATATTAGGGACAAAATATAAGTAGTTCTAATATCCCTGTAGAATTTACAATGTAATAATACATGAGAAATGGATTCAATCTCCAGGTGTGCTTGGTTAATGGAGTTTTGGGTGTCTGCCTTGCAGCAATGTGGATGGTGAGATATTATGTCTGGCTTTGAAAAATGCTATCCTCAGCCTGGGGAAAGTTAGGTTCTGTAAATATTTTGCTGGTTCCCAACTGCTGCTGTTTATCCAATTTCTGCCATGTTGGGGCAACCTATTAACTTTAGTCTGGAACTCCATGTCTTTTATTCTTTGGGTAAGCAGTTGCATGGCTTGGTCATACCCCAAAGAAATTAAGAATGGTGCAGAAAGCCCATATGATGCCAACTTCTGCTGTATGGCCTGTTTCCTAGGAGAAGAAAATTTATCTTTTAAAACAAGTAAGCTATTACTAACATATAATGCTTCAGCTACTATTCAAAGTGCTAGCTTTATCCTTTTGAAACAGTAAGTAATATTTAAAGGAAAATCTTTTTCAGTACATGAACTTCATTGGAACAGTCCTTTTAATGAATGTTAGATTATAATGTTTCCCACGTTCAAGAACTTATGATATTCTGGAACTTATTTTCTAATGAAGATTGTAGAGTTGGTTCTATTGCACTTTATTAAAAAAAACTAAGGATTAGGGAGAACATATTAAATTACTATATTGCTGATGATCAGAATAGTATGTCTTATAATAGTAAGATAATTTTATTTTCATGCTTTTGAGTTACAGAGAATGTTGTGTGTTAAAAAAAAACTCTGGAAGTCCATTGAAAATATACATCCATAAATAAAATGAAATTGAAAGAATGTTGTCATTCCAGTTACGTAGTAGTGTGAGGTTTGTATTCTGTATGAACAATAATACTAACATGTTTTTTAAAGTGAAATCATGATCATAACAATCTGTATATACTGTAACGATCATTTAAAAGAACAATAGGGAGATTTATATCATGAAAATATAAATTGCTAGGGACACTCTCATTGCTGTGGTACACTAGTTTGGTTTGTCAATAAAGTATGATTGTGTACTACTATGACCTTTTTATGGCTATTTAGTGAAAGCTTCATTTAATGAATTACAGCAGTCTGAAGACAAATTGGCTTGAAGGAATGTTTCCAAATGTAATTAAGATCAAAGTTGTAAAGGCTGATTCTAAACCTTGGTAGATATTTGACTAATTTGTTTTTAGATAGATTAACTAAACATCTTATAATGCATGGGTCTTTATAATAAACATTTTTCCTTATAATTTTACAGTGTGTTCTCTAATTGGATTTTTTGTTATTAATTGTATATAAAGCTATAAAAATGAGTCCTAATTATCTGCAGAAAATGAGAGAGAGAGATCAGCTCATAATCCCCTAAGATGTAGTAAAATGATCTTGGAAAAATTTTTACAAGCGAAAGACAAGATTTCTTTGAAAGTAACAGCTTTTTAAAACCAGCCAACTGCCAGCTGCTTGATTGTTGTAGCTGTGGAAAGAAACATCACAAAAGCATTCTTCCTCCATCACCTTCCCAAGAGGGAGTAACATTGTTCATTATGTATCTAATTTAATGTAATACATTGATCCACTATTGCAAAACCTGATCTAAAGCTGGCTTGTTCCACAGCTAATATTCTTTCTTGGTTCATCCAGTCAGCTAACTTGTAATACTGTAGAGATTCATTAATTATGCACAGGAGGTTGTTTGGATGGTAATGAGCTGGGTTGGTTTTACTGCCCTTTATAGATTGGAACTACTAAAGAGTTAATCCATTCCTTGGGAATCTGCAGCAAATTATCAGTGTAGGTAAATAGGGGTGCCAAGATAGAGGCCCACCATTAAGGATTTAGTTTTAGCATTTCTGGAGAAATGAGATTCCCCACCCTGACTCAGGGCTTTGCCTCTTTTCAGCTGAACGATTAAGTTTAATATTTAAGTCAGATAAAGAATTAAAAGATGTTGGTATGTGTCTGAATCCCTAACTGTTGTTTGAAAGAGATTATAACAGCAGAGATTCCAGGTTTCCTGTGATATTAAGTTGTCCATTCCAGATCTTGGTCTTGTTGCCAAGGGAAGGACACTCTTCTGTTTCTTCCACCCATGTTCAGTTTCTGTAGTATGGGAGGTCATTGTGAGATTTGCCTATTTGGAAGAAGTGAAACTGGTAAAATTCAGCTGTTGCTATATATTTCTAATAAATGGTTACTATATTTTTAATAAATGGTTTAGCATACCACGTGACCACTACTATTACATTTTGCTAAACTATGGTTTATGGCTTAGTATGATCTGTGAACCTACCCATTCTCTCAATCTAAGTTACCTCAAAAATACCATTCTGAATTCTTTGGACGAAGGATAATATACAAATCAAACAGTCAAATAAAAAGATACCTACTGATAATGATGTATGGGAAATGATAGGTTTGGTCTGCTGTTTGGTTGGACTACTGAGGACAGTATGTTCTCTTTTTTCCCTTTTTGGTAAGGCTGTGTTGGTTAGAGATTTGTTTTTTAGTTATCAGTCATAAATAGTATCTGAACTGCTGATTTGTAATCATTGTTTTCTTCAAGTAACTTTTTGTTATGTGACCTATGCAATTGTGTATAGTCACTAAATGTTTGGTTCTAATTTTAGGTAGATGCAGAAGAGACTGAACCTAGGAGTTTTATCTTTATGAGTGAGGATGCAATGACAAATCCTGACAAACTGATGATTTTAATTCAAGGCAGTGGTGTTGTCAGAGCAGGACAGTGGGCAAGAAGACTTATTATAAATGAAGATCTGGACAGTGGCACTCAGATTCCTTATATTAAAAGAGCTATACAGGTAAGATAATTATGGGTTTTCCTAAAACAGAGGTGCACAGCTGATCCCAAACTGCTTGGATGGTACTCCAATACTATATTGGAGGCCAGTCTTCCCAAAATGGTAGACAGGGTCAGGACAGAAATTAAACCTGGTTGTTTTGAATTTAAATTTAATTCCAATTTAATATAATTAATATGGTTGTTATCCAGTTACATATCTACCACTTATATTACAGATTTAAATTTAGTAACAACTTTTAGAGGTTTCTGGGAACTGCATATAAAGCTTTTGGGTAACCATAAAAGGCTCTAAGGGTTCAGGGGCACCTCTTTTTTGATGGACTTTTTTTTCTTTTTTGGATTAGTGTTCACAATTCTTGGTGTATACATTAAGCTTAATGTATGTCAAATGTATATTTGTTTTATTTTCAAACCATGTATTCAATTTCTATTTTGTTTCAGGATCTTTAAATGTTATATTGAAATTCATTGTTACATATATGGTTTAAAACAGAGAAATTAATATAATGATTTGTTAAACTTTTTTTTTTAATTTCATTTTACTGGCTTAAAAGGTTTAACTTATTTCCATCTCAAATACAGATTTCATCTGCCTTTTATTATAAAAAGTTGATCTTAGAAAGCACTTAAGCTCCTATGGTTTGATAAAGAAATGGATTTAAGTAGAGTATGTTTCTGTAAAGTATACAAGTGAGCCTATCAAAACCAAGTAGACTGTCAGATGCTTAGTACTAAATGTGCATTGCAGTATTTTATAGTGATATGTTCTTATTTATTTATGTAGGACTAATTCTGTGATTGAGTTTATAATGCCCTGTAATAGGGATTTTCTGATTAGTGGCTATTAAGTTTCTGATAAATCAGTAATAAAACTTAATTTTCTTGAATTTTCTAAAAACCTCTCCCATGCAACACTTGTATTGACAAAATCCAGCAACAACATTCACAACAGAAAAATAACAAGACAATGCAATACCTTTCCTCATCAAGAAATAACAATAGCTAATTAGTAGGGTCTACAAAAAATCAACCCACACTGACTCAATTCAACTCAAATCGCTCAGAAAAAATAATGGTTGAGATCATAAGAGGCATGAAGATAAGATCAGATTCAGTATGTGCCAAGATAAAAGATTAGGGATAGTAAAATAAAACTACACCCACTCCACGTATAGTGACTACCTCAGTTAGTGACCACTTGCAAATACAATGGTAATAAAAAATTCATTTTCTGACCAATGCATGCATTTACGACCAAATTTCGTGCACCTGACAACAGTGCACACCAGAGTGGGAATAATGCTGGTGTAGCTGTATGAGAGAACTTTATCTGAATAAGACAGCAGCAACCAGTGATCTTCACAGTGTCTGTCTGTCTCTTTCTTTCTCTCTTTCTCTCTCAGAGCCACGTGTTCACTTAGCAACCATATTGGAACAGAACTTGGTTGCTAAATGAGGAGTGGGTGTATAAAATATTCCTTCAGGAACAGTAACTATGCCACAAGGACAATTTGACAAGGAATGAAAATTCCAGAACCTAAACCTAATAAGAATAGTTGCATCAGTCACTGTACCCATATAGTAGGATGGGGTATTTGGACTGGATTCCATGGAACCCCAGGATTCTGTGAGGACTTGAATGGGTTCCATGGGATGGGGGTGGGGGTGGGGAGATACTCTGCAAGAGTCTAAGGAGAAACAACACCCAACTCTGCAAGGGATTAAGGCTTTTTTTCCCCTTACTCCCTTGGGAGAGTTTTATTTTAGTCCCTTGTGGAGATTTTAGTCACTAAGGTATAGCAGAAGGGCAGGGATTGTCAGCTGACATTCAGAAGCACTACCCCTCTTTATCAGGGGTTCCAAGAAAAAAAAAATAACGAACAGGTGCCATGGTCTGAAAAAGTTTGAAAACCTCTGTAGTAAGATGCAGATGGAATTCACACAGTCTGCCTTCCTACTCTGCTTGATGTCAAGTGACCTCAAGATTCCTTTTTTAAATAATCAAATGTATGTCTTTAATGCATAATGAAATAAAGCAAACTAGCTAAAAGACCAGTATGAATCAGAATCTTCCACAATAGAACTAGAAGAAATAGAACATGCTAACCAAATGTAACTAAAAACAGATGTGTTAAAGAAAATGTAGCAAACAGTTGTATGTAATTAAGAGATATAGTTCAATTTTTAAACAAATCTTAATTACACAGAATCATATTGCCCATTCTTTTCATTGTGTCAGTAAAGACCTGATTCAAAGATTTAGAATATGTACATTACAACAAACCAGATTTGACATCTTAGTGTCTTTTTAGGGTTTATTACCATTTGTTGGGCACAGTCCAAGAGGAAAAGATCCCAAGGTCTTCATAAATATATAAATTCCAAATTTTAGAGTTAATTCAGTGTTTCTGAAACTTATTGCCCTTAACATTATTAATGCCATTAACATTATTACAAATATCCAACCAATACTGAATAACTGGAAGGCATGTTTAAATCATATGTGTTAATGTACCTTTGAATTTATTGCATCTCCAACATAAAAATGTAGAGAACCAGTCCTTTTGAAACATCTGTTGGAGTATCCAGTAAATTGGAGAAAAGAATTTTTGATGAATTAGTCTCATCTTGCTATTATAGGACATATATTTAATTTTTTTAAATAATTGAGAACAGTTATTTGTTAAAATGGGATAGTCCAAGTCTTTACAATGTATTTCCTATACAACATCAACTAAGATACTTCAGTTGTTGACATAACTGAATAACTGGTTTAGCCTCTCTCTTTTTTTTTCTAATATTCTCAGAATTATGGGATTTTCCAAAGCTGCCATAGCATCAGGTCAAAAAACACAAAGATAATAATTGCTTTAATTGTTATATTGTCATCCAGCAGTTTTAGGCAGGTTATATTCCTTTCATAATCTCAGGAGAATGTTAAAAGTATAATTAGCCGTTTGCTTATCCAAGGTGTCAGCCTCATTTTGGCACAATTATTTTGTAAAAGAAATATCTTCCATTTTAAATCATAAATATCCCAGAAAGTCAATTTCTTATGAGAAAGAGAATCAAATTTAAGTCTCCTTCCCAAAAGTACATGTCTTTCTGCCTTTAATTCTGGGAATACAATTGAATTCCAACTAAAATTAGAGCCATACACCTGCTAGGTTTTCAGAAAAGCCCAATAATAACTATTCAGTTGTACCTATAGTGGTTCATATTCAAACTCATTTAGATAACAAAATAGAAATGAATATATATGACCAAAGGTACAATTGAAAATCTGAAAATTAAACACCCCAGTTTAATGTGGGAATAGCAGTTTAGATAGAGGGAAACTTGGGGCCTGGCCATGCCATAAACATTTGATTTTTTGCTTATTGGTTTCTCTAAAGTATCTTAGTAGAATTAAAATAGGTATTGTTCTAAAGATATAACAATCTTGAATTTGAATAATTTTAACATTTATTCTGCTCCATATGCTTGTGTATTTTCAACCATCAACTAACACTGATGCTAAGCCGTACGGCTCATAGTATTCACATCTACTAACAAATGCTTTTCTTGAAATAATTATTCCCAAATATTTAAGAGATTCTGGAAAATAAATAACCTCCATTTTTACATATTCCCATAAAATCTTTTTTGTTGATTGGCAATATATTTATTCCAATTTATTGTATATCCAGAAAATCTGTCATAGTATACAAGATTAGGTAAAGGCTTTTGGTAATTATTAATAAGACCCAATATATCATCCGCATATAATAATAATGTGTGTTTACTTCCAACCACTAGTATACAGTCCCCAGTTTAAGAACGAATTCCATTCCCAAGGTCTGTCCTTAAGTCAATTTGTATGTAAGCCAGTATTATTGTATAATACTGTATAAGTAGTATTGTGTAATTAACTTGAACTTTTGTGTATTTAAGTCAAATCATTGTGTGTTTAACTCAAATTTTGCTACAGTAGGCTCCTTTCTTAACTATGGTTCATCTGTAAACCAGGCATTCTTAACTCCAGGACTACCTGTACCTTGAATGTCTTTGGATTGTCTGAGATAAGCCAAAGATTCCAAAACCAAATTAAAATAATAGGATATAAAGAATCCTTGACACGTTGCATGATACTTCTTAACTTTTAACCCACCTTGGGGTTTTAACCCACCTTGGGTCACACCAGCTGTCAAAGGACCTATGGAATAGTTCTGCCTTATCAACCTTCATAAAAGACACTAGAGTTGACACCAATCTGATTTCCAGGTTACAGAAGCTATTTGATAGAAAGAGAACTACCATAAATAACATCTGCTCTAACCCTGTTTGTTCCTGTGTTTTTACCTCTATGAATTCATTTATCCTATAAGCTGGTCTTACTTTGCAAAAAACCTATAGTATATTTACACAGAATGTCTACATAATATAATTTGTCTTAAAATACACTTTTGTATACTTCTGGAGTTTGGGGGATTTAAGTTAATTTGCAGAATTTTTATATTATTAGTTTAGTGGTAGGTAATCATTTTATGAATTGATAAAGGACAGAATCCCGTGTTGCGCTTGTACACGAAGATTTTTTCTCTTTGCAGCCCCCACACATTCTCCATTTTTTACTATGAACAGGTTTTGGGGATTGGGGTAAGGAGACTAAGAAGTAGTTCCATTGCCAGAAGAACATGTTTCATTTCAACCAGTAAGATATGAATAAATATTTAGGAGATAAGTTATATGAAATAATCAGGGCATTAAGTGTCAATTAAAAAAAATTCTCCTTACGAATACATAGTAGTGTCTGTGAAATTTAGATTAAATTAATGGATTTCCAAAATATGGTTACATGGATATTTCATACAATTGGTTTTATGCTGAGAATAAGTCAAAGATTTGTGTAAGCTTAGAAAAAGTGGCTTAAGGAAAAGTAAGGAGGATAGTTAAATTCTCATTGACAGACTATATGAAGCCACATTACCCCCCAAGCCAGTAGAACAAAACAATGAG